CAGAGTGAGACCCTGTCAAAAAAAAAAAAAAAAAAAAAAATTACTGAACGTGATAGAAAGTAAAAATATAAAGCAGACAACAGACCAGCCTTGCAAATGACAGGCATATTGGAGTTGTCCTCATAATGGAGTCATTGGATCCAAATACTGGAGTCATGCTCAAGGAAATCACTGAGATGGAGAATTTAAACCCAAAATTGGGATCTATATTTTTTAATGGAAATTATGAAACTGAAAAATACTGAAATGGACTATTCTGCAGGTGGGTTGTATAGTGGATTAGGAGGAACAAGGGGTCTGGGTGCAACAGCTCATGCCTATCATCCCAGCACTTTGGGACACCAAGGTGGGAGGATTGCTTGAGTCTAAGAGTTCGAGACCAGCCTGGGCAACATAGAGAGATCTCATCGCTACAAAAATAAAAATAAAGCAGGAATAAGGGGAAAGCAAGTCCACAGGAAGGTGGGTCTGAGCCACATTCAGAGGAAAAGCCCACAGAGATGGGAAAGTGCTTTTCTCTCCTAATCGAAGACTCTGAAGTGGAAACATAAGTCCATTTTTATTTACCCTGGAAGGCTCTGCCGCACATGTATGATGCGCATTGTCCCAAATCCGTGGGTAGGTGTGGGGCAGAGGAAGTGGAGATAAACACCATTTCAAACTAGTTGGGGGAGAGTGCGAGTGGTGAATGCTTGTTAGATTTGGTATCGATGACACAGGTAAATGGACCTACAAAGTGTATGTTTTATAAATGATTTCTATAATTAAGTTTCCTGTCAAAAGATGTCAAGATAAAAATGCTAAGTCCTATACCTATAATTGCAGGAAGTGACAATAAAAATTCTTAGCAAATGGTCACATGGACTCTACCTGCACACTGCCTGTGATGGGGCCCTCACTACAAGGCAAACCACTTTTGATTCCAGAAACTCCCCAGAGTCTTGACGAATGCCTGCCTGTAGCCTGACTCAGTCATGCCCTCGGCCCACACCAGTGTCGGGAAAATCATGTTATACTAACATGAAGAGCAAAAGGTGTCACTTACCTTGGGTGGAAGGTTGGGGACTTTCAAGGTTACAACAATGGAAAATTCTTCGGGGAAGAGGTCACATCCAAAGAAAATCCTTGAAGAAGGAAAGCTCATGGCATGGAGGGCCGCTGCAGAGAGCTGGAGCCCCCGCGCGCCACCAGTCTGTACCATCCTGATCCCGCTCGTGGCACCATCGGAAGGGGCCACCTCTGCCAGGATGTCCAAGGGACGCAGTTCTACAACACAGAAATCACAGGGGCATTAGACCAGGACAACCATGTAGGGTGGTACCCATGACAGCCAACATGTATGAGCCCAGGTGCCACAGGCCTGTCTTGGCATTTTCTATAATCTTCACAACAGCCCCTATGAGCTTCATGCCATGACTGCCCCCAATTCTCCAGAGGGGAAACAGGCACCAGACAGGGATGACTGTCCTGGGCCTGCCCGCGTGGCCTCCTCTCCTGCTCCTGCTATTGGGGGATTCTTCCTGGCTGCTTCTGGGCTGCAGATGCACACCCCATGTGGCTGCTGCTTCTAGGTCACCAGCGAGGCACTGTGCAAGGCACAGGGTGAGTTGTGCAGGACACAGGAAGGTGTGTACTGCTTGCTGGAGACACAAGGACACCACAGGAAACACAGGAAACATCTGGGACTGAAACCAATCAGGCATGGCCTCTCTTTGCACTACATGCTGGAGATCTGGAAGCTGTCCTGGAGCTAGAGGTACTTCCCTCCCACCCCCCTCCAGGTGGGTGGGGAGGGTGGGTAAGCTCCTGGGAGACCCTCTGATTCATAGTTTAAAATCATTAGAAACAAACCTGATGAGTCAGGTTGGCCTCATCTGAGGCCAATGACAAGGAAGGAAGAAGGTATGTGGAAGACATTCTGGACTTAGAAAGGAGGTTTCAGGGTAACTCCCTGGACCCAGGATGATTGACTGGGAGCAGAGCCCAAGGCTGATGCCTGGACTGTCCCTGGCCACCACAGTTGGCCATGGCTTGGGGTAAATGGGCACATCTGAATGCAACAGCTATTCCTGGAACTGACCCCTTGGACTGGCAGTCTTGCTAAGGGGCCTCCTGCCTGAGTCTGGCTCAGGGTGCCTGGGGTCCAACCACGATGGTGCTTGGTTCTCTGAGTTCATCTTTCCACACACTCCAGCCCTGGGGGAGATGGACACAAGGGATGTGGTCATGTTGGGTGATGGGGCAGGAGCTTGGTGACATCGAGCTTCAAGCACAGAACTGGACATGTGTCCTTGATATTCTATATGGAGTACAAAAACCTGGACACAGCAGGTCTGCTGAGAACCATGTCCCAGAAAAGCACCCTTGTTGGGACAGAGGTGTCACAAGAAAAGTTGGAGAAAAACTGGAGATGACTCAGAAGGAGGAATGGCTGAGGGCATGGCCGTGAGCATCCTGGCTGTGGGATGCTGTGGGCAGCATGCCCAGGCACAGGGTGGGAAGAAGGGGCATGCAAGGGGCCTGGGTGGCGTGTGATCCCCAGCACTGGAGTATGTCAGGACATACACAGATGGGAAGGTGCTGTGAAGAGGGAGTGGCCTGCTTTGTGACAGGGAGATGTATTGTTATTGTTATTATTACTTATGCAATTAAACAAAGAAGGTAGAGTGTGAAGAGGCTTCATGGCTTCTTCGAAAGACTTTGTGCTATAAAATGAGCCACTCCGTAGGGATGGCAACAGGAAGACATTTGTGTGTAGAAGGGTCTACATTCTCTGTGGCTGGATATTTTTTTTTTGAGTCAGGGTCTCTCTCTGTTGCCCAGGCTGGAGTGCAGTGGCGTGATCATGGCTTACCACAGCCTCAACCTCCTGGGCTCAGGTGATCCTTCTGCCTCAGCCTCCTGAATAGCTGGGACTACAGGCATGTACCACCACACCTGGCTAATTTATATATATAAATGTATGTAACCCAGGATGGTCTCGAACTCCTGGGCTCAAGCAATCCTCTTACCTCGGCTTCCCTGTATGCCAGGATTATAGGTATGAGCTATCGCGCCTGGCCTCTGTGTCCAGATATTAAGATGCAGTTATCACCCTGGAGGTAGCCGTGTGTTTAGGAACCCCAGATTGACCCTGGAAGAACTCTGGCATCTCGTGGGGAGGAGACGTGGTGAGTCTATGCTCCAGGATTGTGACATTGACCCAAGTGTCAGGCTGACTGGGCTGTGGAATCAGACACCACACCCTGTGGGATTGTGTCCTGGGCCCACTGGAGAAAATGGGTCTCTAAGTAAAACCTGTGCATACTAGCCAACCCCCACAAAAAAATCCCTGAAAGGCACTGGTGTACCATCTCTCCTGGTGGTGGGCTCACCCTCAGGGGTTTAGCTGTAGCACAACAGGGTCCACACCCCCGTCCAGGAAACATGAGGTCCACCACCAAGAACCCAGAGTATGCCCCTGCGCTGCTGAGCCCTGGGGCACAGACAGTCAGGGCCCACCACCTGCCAGGGGGCTCCTGGGCTTTGGCAATCAGGAAGCAGAATCCTGTCCAATCCTGTATGAGCCTCTCCACTCACTGTTTAATTAAAACTGCCTTTGGCCAGGTGCAATGGCTCATGCCTATAATCCCAGCACTTTGGGAGACAGAGGCGAGGAGATTGCCTGAGCCCAGGGGTCCAAGACTAGCTTGGGCAACTTGGCAAGACCATGTCTCTACAATAATTTTTTAAAAAGAGTTAGCTGGGCATGGTGGCATACACCTATAGTTCCAGCTACCTGGAAGGCTGAGGTGGAAGGATCTCCTGAGATCAGGAGGTTGAGGCTGTGGTGGCTGTGATTGTGCACTGCCCTCCAGCCTGGGTGACAGAGTGAGACGTCAACTCAAAAACAAAAACAAAACAAAATAAAAATGCCTCTTCCTTTTCTCCACCCCACGCCAATCCATGCAAACATAAACAGTCTTTACTCTGACAGGTATTGAGTCTAAGTGCACTGTTCAGTGATGTTTGCCTTGTTTATACACCCACATGGGATTTTCAGTGAGCAGAGAAACAGTGAGTTTTGCGCTGTACTGGAAAGATCTCTGATGGAGGAATGAGCATTGATTGGGTTCATGAGAGTCACAGCCATCTCAGTGAATGACATGTCTATTAGCACTGTCATGTCATGGCAAGACAATGTGCAGACAGCCAGCGGCTAGGCCATCTGGAACAGAGGAGCTCTGGCTTTTGAAGCCACCGACCCTGGAGACCAGACCTCAGCCTCTGTTGTACTTGGTCCAGGATTTGGCCAGGGATGACAGTCTGCCTCATATCTTTCCCTATTTCCATCTCAGGATTAGCCAGAGAAAGCTAAATATGCCCCTCACTGATCCCATAGGATGACCCCTGCTAGGGACTTTCTGCCTGCCCCTCAGGCTGCAGCCTCCACTCAGGTATAGCTGGGCCTCCCTTTCTTACCTGGGAGCTTTCCCATCCCCTGCCTGCATTTGAGTCTCTGCCAAACACAGGTAAGTGTAGCTGCCCCCTTAACATGGCCAGCTCCGAACATATAAACAGCCTCCCATGTGATCCTCCCATGTGATCCTGTTGATTGCTGGCCACTTGCTTGCCCACTCAGAACCAAAATCCTTCTTCCTGACTTTCTCGTGTGTCATCCAGGGTGCAGTCACCACCTGGCCACCTTGGGCACATGGACGTTCAGGGGACAGGAGACTCATGCGGCTGGCATGGGACGAGGGATTTAACCAAACTCTTCCAGGACCGGATGCTCAGGTCCCCGAGAGCCCCACCCATAGTCCCACCTCTGCTGGGAGCCCAGAGTGGCAGAAGCAAAGAGGAAAAAGGCTGGTCCTGCCCCAGGCACCTCTGCAATAACAATCCCTCTCCCTCCTGCCAGGAACGATTATCCCTGCGATCCAGCCAGCCTTCCTGTGCCCCTAGTCCTGCACACACACACACAGCCTTCCTGGGAGTGGAAACCTGAACGCAGATGAATCCCCAGCACTGCCTCAGGCCGCACTGGGTGGGCGCCTCTGAGGCTCACCTGCCTCTGATCCAAGCTGCTTGCAAGTCCTGCTTGACTCCGTTTCCTGTAAAACATGGGTACAAATCCAGGCACTGCAGAAATAGGCCGAGGGGTGGGGAGCTATTGAGATCAGCCCATTCACAGCCTCCAGTACAGACCAGGGAAGTCAGCCCCAAAGGGTCTGGGGCGCAGTTGGGGCAGAAGCAGACGTGTTGTTCTTAGTGTTGGAAAAGAGAAAAGGTATCGATTCCAACATTGGAGCATCACCTAGGGAAACTGGAGCGAGAAGAGTGAACAGCACCCACAGCCAGTAAAGGGCAGGGTATGGGCAGAAGGTCATGTAACTATAAGCAAAAGAAAAAGAGATGTTAGCCAAGCTGCTTCTTTGAGAGGCTCAATCACACAGATAAACCTCTAGCTGACTGACCAAGAAGAAAGGGATGGGGAGAGCAAGGAGGATACTACTAGACCATTTTCAGAAGGGGGAAGGATAGTCAGAGACTTCAACAAACAACACCATGCCTGTATATTCAGTATATAAACCAATTCCTTGAGAGGCACCAATACAAAGCTTGCTAAAGAAGAAATAGAAATACTGGCAAGCCAGTATCTATTAAAGGAAACTTCCCAGCAAAGAAAGCACCCAGTTTCCTGGAAAATTCTACCAATCACTTAAGGAAGAGAAATGAAAAGCCATTTCTGTGAAATCTTTCCAACAAATAGAAGAAGAGAAAACACTGCCAACTCCTTTTGTAAAGGAAGCCTTATCAAAACCGGTAAAGACAGTTCAATAAAACTATGGACAAATATCCACCCATAAATGTACACACAAAGATCCTCAGTAAAAGTCTAGCAAGAGAAATGCAGCAGCAAGTGAAAAGGGCATACATCACCATACATCACAACCAAACGGGGTCTGCCAAGGAGTTCAAGACTGGCTTGACATTCAAAAGTCAATTGATTTGGGCACTCTTGATGAAAGTTGTCAGAATCAAAACAGTGTCACTAATGTCAAGAACACTCTGACACATAGAGATGGGGAAGACCAGGATGTCATCACAACATGAACTCATTTTTTTCAGGAAGCCTTAAAACCTGTGAAATTAACCTGTGTTTGCTTACAGAAATGAAGACTGGATACCAACAGCAATAAACCAGCTGCAGGACGAAGTGAGCCCAGCAATGCTCCCTTGATCTGAATCTTGTATCCATGTGGCTACGACCTGAATTCTCACTC